TCCCAAAGACGGGCTGCAGTAGAATCCCACAAGACTCCCTAACATTTACTTGTAAACACTGTAGGACAACAGTTTGCAACATTTTGCAGCAGCCAGCTGGAATGACCCAGCTCAGGTACTGGATAGGTCTGTGTTACAAACTGGCTGCTGCTGCTACTTTTCCCTGCCACTGCTTCTCCCCACTGCCTCGCTGTGATGCTGCATGGGAAAGGTCCCTGCTCCCTGGTTGCCGAGCCACAGAGCACCAGGCAAAGCCCCCACCCTGTTACTGAATGCCACCTAAGCCCCAGCTCCATAGGTCAGATCAGGCCTGTGTGCCATAGGTTGCTGACCTCTGCTGTAGGAGGTCACATGGATTATGAAGTAAAAAATGATGACAATGCCTTTCTTCTGAACTGGACTATCTAGGCAAAAACAAATCAGAATGAAAAAAAAATACTGGTTTAAGATTAATCTAGTTTACACTGATGCAGAAATTGGAGGAAACACTTTGAGGATGTGACCAAATACATACTTGTTTCAACAATTAGGAGTGTTTTCCCTAACAGTCAGCAAAATGGCCTGCAATCCAGGGATCTTACTTGAATCCTCAATTTTACTTGATTGAAGAGGATAATTTATGACAAATTAAGAAATTGTGTTCCATCCCTTCAGAGATGAAGAATGCCACAATCACTCACATTTCTGCCATCCATGAGGTGGATTACAGCTACGTGCAAAAATTACTCAAAAAGGCCTAGGTAGTGCAGAATTCATCTAACCACCTTCTGAATATGGTGATCTCATCAAAAGGCCATCACATTTGTGCCCAACTTGCTGTACTGTTTATTACATTGCTGTAAGGTAAAATGCATGAGCCCAGCCACACTGAAGAACAGCCTCAAGATATACTTCTTTGTCCAGGTCTTACCAACAGATTTAATTGTGAAATCCTGGATTCCTAGATAAGTAGTCAGTTTCCAGGTTACCAGGAAACACTATGTTTTGCCTTGATGAGTTCCTTAGTAACTTAGGGTCTTGCAAAGGCACACTTCAAAAAGAATTTAATGTGTAAGCTTTTCAAAAAGTGTTGTACGTACCTTTATGAAAAAGAAATACAAAACATTCAGTAACGTTGTTTTCAGCATTGCCATATATCAGAATAAAAACTGAAGTGCACAAAGTTTCAAAGGAAACATTAATCTAGTCCTGATACTGTATGGAGCACAGCATTTCACGATTTACTTCTAAATTGGTCTCTAAAATGTTGTATGGAAAATGCTGACACACTGGACTGGACAACTACATCCACCAACACAATCTATGTAGAAAAACTGACATCTGGATTCATAAATGCAGGTTATGTGCATTCAGCGCACACAAGCAAAAGTCAAAAAGGTCACTTAAAATTAATGACATTTCTATTCATATCCCTCAAGCTTATTTAATAGAAAAATATTGTTTCCAGTTACCTTCTCCTCCAGGTTTGGACCGGTGCCTTGACCCCTTTGTTGAATGCTGCCTTGATAATCTTGCAAGACTTTCACTCTTTAAAAAAAAACAAAAAAAACACCTGCACATTATATTTCATTACACAGACAGCTCCAGCACACAAACACAAGATCAAACCATGCACAATCAGCAGAAATCTTCCCTGTTAAACTCACAAGTAAAGCAAAAATCTAAAACTTGGTTAGAGGTATATTTACACATCTTTAAAAGTGAGTTAAATGTAACCAATGTATTCCTGAATCTTCAAAGAAACTACTCCAATGCATTTGGCAACCTTGGGATGGAAAGGCTATTGCAATTATTTTGAAGAGACAGCACTGGCTGTCACAACTTTTAAAACAGCCTGTGGTAGCCTACCACTGCTCGGAATAGGGCATCCTAGGAGTCTGCAAAGCAACCGGGGGGATCTGTCTATGGACAAAGGACTAGTTCTGTATGCATCTCTATCAAAATATAATCTCTGTTTCGATTGTGAAGCTAGTTTACTTTCTCTGCAGGATTTTTACCTCATTCTTGGGATGAAATTCAAGGGGTGGTGATAAAGGGCTAAAAACAGATTGTTGAATTTAGGTTTCTATTCAGATGAACAACCTTGGACGAAGAAGACAGACAGACCAGGAAAAACAGTTTCCACAAGAATGGTTGTAAACAGGCAATACATCGTTGGTGGAAAGCTATGATACCACGGTGAAGATGATCTGGGTATTACCTGACAGCGGATGCTGTAACCTTACAGGACAACCAGCCTCTTCAGGAGAGGGAGAAGAAACCAGAAGCAGAAAAGTAGTCTGTGCATGAGGAAGATCCTGGACACTTTGAAGGGCCCTAACCTATGTCTAACGAATGCTCTGGAGTGGTAATGAGCAGGCAGGGAATGCCACATAGGTGTTGCATCAGGATTGGTATACATCTTGTGCTGTTAAATTTTCAAATTCCTTCTGCAAAGTTTGTGTGTTACCTATTGCAACTATCATGTGACCCTAACAGAAATGAGTGGAACAGCATAGCACCCACAATGTTGGATCTCAATGATGGTACTGGGGGAAGAAGGAGGAGATCAACACCAGGGTTTGGGAGTCTAGGGCAAATGAACTGTGAGGTCAAACTCACATAGGGGTAACAGACAGAATGTGTGCCCAGAAAGTATGTAAGAGACCAAAGACAGGCACAGTAACAGCAAGAACAGGGAGAGCTTAAATACGTTTCCAATAGACAGGCTCCAAACACAGCATCCTAGGAAATGTCCAGCAGTGGGAATTCAGCCAGGTCTGTGATGATTACCTTAGTTAACAGTCAGGTACTGGACAGGCCCATTACACACACACTTTGGAGCATGTATGCTAAATGGAACTCAAATATTTCAGTGTGAGGTATAAGGGAGGATCTTGAAATGATTCTGTAGGCAGGCTTAGGCCATCCAAGAATCTTTGCTCTGTGGCCAGAATTTGGATATGATGGAAAACAGGTTCAAAGAAAGACAATTGTGTTATTTCCTAGCCTGCAAATAACCCCTGAACTTGCAGAGAAGTCTTCTTCTCACGTGCAAGAACAATGATGGACTGATGAAAGTTGATGAAAGTTGCGGTGCCATTCAGTAGCGCATAGTGAATAGAACAGGCACTAGCTTCTGCTAAGTCATTCATTATGAATATCATTCACTATGCTTCTACCAACTTCACTTTCCTTTCACAGAAATGTCCTTTATCTACATTTTTTAATAAGATGAAGTGACTGAAACTAAGCAGTGTGAGGTGATAAAGTACAAATGATTTACAGAATGCAGTTTACTTTCCCATATTCACCATCCTTGTAATGTATCTCTGCATCTTAGCTGCTAAACGTATTTCAGGGTTTTTAGCCTAAAGAATTTCTCCCCAATTTGTTTTCTAAATGCTACTTGTACTCTGAAAGCTTAACAGCTCACCTATTCTGCATCCAAAATTTACTGCCAACCGATGATGCACATTCTCATGATACAAATTATAACCATGTATCATGTTATTTCCGAATGTTTATAATTAAAAGTCCTCAACGATACCCCAAAACTAAATACTGCTCTAAACAAAACAGCATAAAATATTTACTTTATTTGTAGTATATTGTAACTCCTGCTTGTCACTTCAATAAAGGAACATTTAAAAAAAGAATATATGAGAAATAATGGTAAAGGTATGGTAGGAGCAGCAGTTGATTTCTAAAAGCTGAGGGTAGTGCACCCAATAGACAGAATTTAAAAGATAGGTAACAGGAAGAAAGCAAAGATTAGATGTCAAGTTGTAAGTTTTTAATTTGTATTTAGAAGGTAACATTTCCTTTCAGTGGTAAGTAATGCTCATTAATGTAATGGGATTTCTGGATAAACACACAGGGGACACTGTATTAATAAAGCATTTTAAAAATATTTCATAGCATTCGTGCTTATTTGATTGTTCCAGGTATTTGTAGGTACTCTATGAAAACACACACACACACACACACACACACACACACACACCAGCTTTTATAACCAGCTTGAGCAATTTAGAAACAGAAATAAAGATGTTTATAGCATTTTTTCTACCAAAAAATGCTGTACTGAATACGTCTGCTTGCAGAATTTCAGGAAGCTTGTAATAAAAAAAAAAACAACAAACACAAACGTGTTAAACTGTAAGCAATGCAGGAACTAGTGAAATGGAAAATAGGGGGTACTGAGTAAATAAACTGCTTTTGACATAAATACGTTTTGGTGAAATTATTACTGTTAACAGTACGGTTACATCTGAATACACAATGTTTTGGATTCACTCTATTTAGAAAGTAGTGATACATATTCATATATAGTTAAGAGTATAAAAACATAAGTAATATTATTAGAGTGGCCTATTTTAATTACTTTATTACTATATTAACTTTTATAATATAATACAAGCAGCAAAAACAAAACTTCACATTCCATCAGCATCTGCTTGAAAGCCTTCAGGGACACACGTGGTTTAGTCAAACTTTCTCTTAATTTTGGCAATGCAAGTATTAGCACAGGTGGGGAAAAGTTGGGACTAGGTGGAAAGACTTCTAATGGAGTCGATTTAGGCAATTAAATTTGTCAGTCAGTAATCGCATGCACGGTTTTACATTTTTGTGCAGCACGTGCACACTGTAACAGGTGCAAAGTAAGAGCTAATGTTTATCACTAGGGAAGGACACAAAAACATAGAAACGACAATGTTTATCATTTAATTATTTCCAAGGAAAGATGAAAAGAGAGTTCTCTCACAAGTTAAGAGGCTCCAGTGTCTCCAAAAGTAATTGATAGAGTTAGTTTTTACTTTACAGTTACTTTTACAATAGTCTGGAAAACTAATTAAGGACGTGGCTCAAGAAATATTTGCTAGTTGCGTAGTTATATTTGTATACATTTAGTTACCTGTATACATTTGGAAGGTTCATAGATTCATAGATGTTAGGGTCGGAAGGGACGAAAGAGTGCTGGGTTCAGATGACCCCACCCACATGCCTATCTAACCTCCTCTTGAAGACCCCCAGGGTAGGGGAGAGCACCACCTCCCTTGGGAGCCCATTCCAGATTTTGGTCACTCTAACTGTAAAGAAGTTCCTCCCAACATCCAGTCTAAATCTGCTTTCTGCAAGCTTATGGCCATTATTTCTTGTGGTGCCTTGGTGAGCAGAGCCTCACTAATTCCCTTCTGTGCCCCCATGATGAATTTATAGGCAGCCACAAGGTCGCCTCTCAACCTTCTCTTGCGGAGGCTGAAGAGGTCCAGGTGCCCCAGTCTCTCCTCATAGGGCTTGGCCTGCAAGCCCTTAACCATACGAGTGGCCCTTCTCTGGACCCTCTCCAGGTTATCCGCATCCCTCTTGAAGTGCGGCGCCCAGAATTGCATGCAATATTCCAACTGCGGTCTGACCAGAGCCCGATAGAGGGGAAGTATCACTTCCTTTGTTCTGTTTGTAATGCACCTGCTGATGCATGATAAAGTGCAGTTAGCTTTTCTGATGACTTCATCACACTGACAACTCATATTCATCTTGGAGTCCACCAGGACTCCAAGATCCCTTTCCGCTTCCGTGCTACCAAGCAGGTCATTTCCTAGGCACTAGGTGTGCTGGACATTTTTCCTCCCTAGGTGCAGCACTTTGCATTTCTCCTTGTTGAACTGCATTCTGTTGTTTTCCGCCCATATGTCCAACCTGTCCAGGTCTGCTTGTAGTTGTTCCCTGCCCTCCGGCGTGCCCACTTCTCCCCA